GGAGGGGGGGGGGGTCAATTTTTAGACAAATTTTTGCGTACGTACTTATTGAATGACCCCTAATTAATTATTGTTTACAGAAACAAATATCAAATATATTATATTTTACCTAGAGATAAAATAATTAAGCAAATGTGTTTTATTTTTATAATTTATTTTAATATTCAAAATTAAATCACTGATTACTTTTTAACCCTAGCTTTAAAAAAATCTAAAAATATATGTTTTGTTAAATAGTAAAATAGTAATATTCTTACTTTTGTGAAAATTAATGTACAAGTTGATATATTGAACTCTGATATCTGATAAAATTTATTTTTATAAGAATTGCTATAATATTATAAAAATAAATGAAACTTAAGGTTAAGTATCGTAATATGATTGACAGTATTATGATATTCTTACGGGAGGTCTATTAAAGTCATAACAAGTATATAAACTGTATTTCCATTAGTGCACAGTGTATTTTTTAAATATTTACTATCTCAATATGTCTATCTAGTAGATACCAGGGTCAAGTCAGACGAGACATCAAACTTAAGTTTGTAAAATATTTCATTAATTATTTAAAAGTTTATAAAATATTTTTAAGTAATAAACAATGAAGTAAACCTTATGTATATTTGTATATTGTTAACAATTGCATACAATTTTGTAGACACAAATTACCTATTTAAATTGAGATTATTGTAATTCACGTATAATAATCATGTGAAATGGTGTAATAAATATCACTAATACTGTATTAACTTGCATATATAAACATTGTTATTTTAAGTTTAACCTGGAATAAAATTTCAAAACTATGAGACAATTTAAAATAAAAGATTTTAAACTACTTCATTTAGTAGTAAATGATCTAGTTATCAAATATTTGATTAGATATAGTATGCTCACTTAACTTGTACACTTGTACTCCCTTAAGAATTGCAAACTGAGCTTGTCATAAATGCAATTTACCGTATTAATAGATTAAAAATAATAGTGATTATAAGTTCTAGAAGTACAGTACTATACCCTAGTATAATTAAAGTATCAGGAGACTTTTTCTAGGAATTATTTTTAAAAATGTGTTTAATATTATCATAAGGCTTTTGCACGACACAATAGTTACATGCTGATAACATTTTCATTGTCACATTGGGTATAAAAGCGTCAAAATTTTCGTAACCACTTTATATAATTAATTTATTTGAACTTGTTAGTTATACTCTCAATAATAATGAAGTTATTACTCGTATTGTCGGCTATTGTTTTAGCCGTAAACTCGTTGCCAGTCAATGAAAATGGTGGTAAAAATTGGGTTGTCCTAGTAGCTGGCTCAAACACCTGGTGGAACTACAGACATCAGGTACATTTTTTAATTTTAATAATTTAGTAGTTATTAATATAATATTAACTTACCCTAAAGGCCGACATATACCACGCGTACCAAATAGTGAAGGCTAACGGTATCCCCGATGAGAATATCATTGTCTTCCACTACGACGATATTGCAAACAATAAGGAAAATAAGTACCCTGGTAAAGTATTCAATAACCCCGACCACAAGGATGTCTACCACGGTGTCCCCAAAGACTACACTGGTGATGATGTCACTCCCACGGTAAATAATATTATTTTAAAATTAAATAATACATAATATGACAAGATTAAAATAAAAATAACGAGCAGTTACCTAGACCATTATAAATAATTATTTAGTGATCTAATTTTTAAATGATAAAATAGTAACTCAATTACAGTTTTTAAAAAATATAATATTTTTAATGAACATTTTATATTATACTATTTTATTAATACAATTATTTTATACAGAATTATATAAATATATTAAGATAAATATAAAATTTCATATTAATTAATCACTCATAGAAGTAGTCTATGACAATGTCACACAACATCTAGTACAATCAGTAGAATTTAGTATAAACTATATTTTAAAATTTAATTAAATACTAAAAATTTAATATTAATTTATTTTTACAGAACTTTTTGAAAGCCCTGTTAGGGGACAAGGATTTGGAGAGCTCTGGTAAAAAGGTGTTGAACTCGGGACCCAACGACAACGTGTTTGTCTTTTTCGATGACCATGGTGCTGTTGACCTAGTTGCTTTCCCCAAGACCTATTTATACGGCGAGAACCTCACCTCAACTCTTAAGGAAATGCATACCCAGAACAAATACAACAAGCTCGTTTTCTACATCGAGGCCTGCGAAGCCGGTATGTTTATCTTTGTACCTTGGTCATACTTTTATGTTTTTTTTGTTTGTAGCTCACTTGTATTACAGAATTTGAGTACATATTTGTTATTGATAACTTTTTTTGTATCAGTCATATGAATGGAAATGTTGGGTAAAATAGTCATTTGATATTAGGCACTTGAGTTTATTGTTTTCATTATCATGGTCATATCTATTATGATGTGTCATGAGTGGCATTATCAGATAGAACAGTACATTTTATTATGTAGGCACATGATGTAGAACAATTTAATCTATAGATTTTTAATCTTGGATAAAAAAAATTTATTTATTATTTTACGAAAATAATGAGTCGATAGAAAATAAACTGTAACATATACTAACAATAATTATTAATATAAATCAAGCTTAATCTTTAAAAATTTATGTATAGTGTTGTCATTGTGCCTAATTTAATTAATACTAATTTTAAATTTTACGATATGTACTGGTACATTCAACATTAGTAAAAAAATAAATATCAAATATTTAAAAATCAATTTAAAAATTATAAAAAAATACACAATTTAACATTAAATACAGTACTAAATAAGACTAGTATATTACACTTGTAAAATCATATAATAGATACTAAGTCATGCTTTAAAAAATAATTAACTTGCAATTTGACCAGGCTCTATGTTCGCCAAACTGTTGCCCACCGACATCAACATCTACGCCACGACTGCCTCCAGTCCCAATGAATCCAGCTATGCCTGGTATGACGACACCGAGTTGGGCACATACCTGGGCGATGAGTATAGTATCCATTGGATGGAAGAGGCAGAACAGGCCACTGACACGACTACCCTCGAGGACCAGTTCCAGTGGACCAAAACCAAGACTACCAAATCACATGTCCAACACTACGGCGACCTGTCTATTGCCAAATTGCCCCTGTCTCAATTCTTGGGTTTGTACACAATAACTCCTATTTATAAAAATCTTATGAACCTACATTTGCTACGTCGAGTAGTAATTTACCATAGGGATATTTAGATGTTCAGTGTAAGATTATGAAGTGATAAGCTGTAAAATAATATTGAAGTATATTTGAGTTTAATTATAATATTTTAAATTAGAAGTTTGGAAATCCCTCCACTCCACTAATATTAATACTATTTTAGTAAAATCTGTCTAGGTTAATTAAATATGGTTAACTAATAAAAATTATGACTTATTGCATAGTTTTTATAGATGTAGAAATATAATAATTAAAAGTAATAAGCGTGTTTATAAAATAATTATTTTTCAAATATCTATACATTATGTGATAAAATTAAATAATATACTGGTACATTGAAATTTTTTAAAAATACATTGAATTTTGTTTAAAATTAATTTATTGTTTGAACGAAACACAGGTAAAAGAAAATCGGCGACACCTGTGACCCGATCTAACAGCCGAACCGCAGTCGACAATAAGGACGTGCCGTTGGCTATGGCTAAGGGCGAGGA